GCGATCCTCCTGCCTCAGCCTCTCAAGCCACTGGGATTACAGGTGCGCGCGCCACCACGCCTGGCGGCAGTGCCCTTTTTAGCCCTTGAGTCTGAAGCCTTCACTCAGTGCATCCCACTTCCCTTTTCCAGCAGCTCCAGGACACAAGAGTTGGCTGGTGTGTTTGGAATTTTCTCCAGGTTAATTTCATGGAGTGGCGTTTACATTTAGAACAGTCTTTATGGACCCATTGCACTAACTGCTGCCCATTTTACTCTCTGTCTATCCTGACCACTGACTGGACTCTTCAGTCCTCTGGCCAAGGCCCTCTACTTTTGCCAGGATGGACTGTCACCTTATTTGATTGTGTGTTCACGGCCCTGTCTCTATCTGTCTGTCCAGAAGCTCCAGTAAGACAGGAGCATGTCTGTCTTGCTCTCTGGGTCTCTAGACATTCAATAAATGTCTGCTGAATGCGAAAACGCAACTAGCCCAGCCCTTCACCAGACTCTTAGCCTTGGTTCTTTCTGTTCCCTCCCTTGGGCTTCCTCTGCACTCTCTCCTCTTTTCTCTTTTCACATGTCAAAACCTTCCCCATCCTTCAAGACCATTCAAATGGCACCTCCACTTCGGAGCCTGCCCTAGTCCCCCAGCTTGGAAATTTATTTCTCCCTACAAAATCGAAGGCACATGGCTCCTCCATTATATTGCACTGTTCATTCTGGATTACCACTATTTCTGTACCATCTCTGTTCACCAAATTGACAATGAGCTCCTTGGGGATAGGGCAGGTCATCTTGTTACCCTGTGGCTCTTGTACACTAAGAGGTGAAAATTTCAAGCAAGACAGGAAACAGGACACAAAATGTAACAAAAGTATAGCAAAGTATACCAGAGGAGAAAGGAAGGATGTCCTAAAAGGAAAGGGTGGACTCCTTTGTTCCCTAGGTTTATGGGGGTCTTAGAGAAGTTTCTAGAAAGTCTTGTCCAGGTACCACCTCTTAATTCATTTTTTTTTTGTACCAGAGATTGAATCCAGGGGCACTTAACCACTGAATCACATCCCCAGCCCCCCCCCCTTTTATGTAGAGACAGTGTCTTGCTCAGAGCCTCACTAAGTTGATGAGGCTGGCTTTAAACAAGCAATCCTCCTGCCTCAGCCTCCTGAGCAGATGGGATTACAGGACCACCTCTATTTTTTAAATTTTTTTTTTTAGTTATAGAGGAGCATAATGCCTTTATATTTTATTTATTTTTATGTAGTGCTGAGGATCGAACCCAGTGCTTCACACGTGCTAGGCCAGCACACTGCCACTGAACCACAACTCCAGCCCCGACCTCTTAACTTTTGATTGACAGTAGGTCTGCATCAGATTTTAAAATCCCTACTGCATGGTCTTACCACAGGTACTGAAGTGAAACTCATGGTGGGGTAGGGGAAATTTTGCCATGATAATAAGATTAAAATGAGATGTTAAAGATCTAAACGCAACTCTTGGTCATCTTGGCCTAGGCTGACTAATTCTACCTGGAACTTGATTTTTTGATTTTGCTTTTATAGATTTTATGGTAGGGTTGTAGGGACAGATGAGGCAAGGCACCAAAGATAGCAGGAAACAGTTTTATTTGGCTGCAGCCAGGCTCAGAGGGCATAGCTTTTGCTGTAATCAGTAAATCCCCTGAACCCCTAGCTCAGGGAGTTTCAGAGTTTTGTACCCAGCATGTAAGGGGAGGGGCTCAGAAGTTCACAGTCTGAAGAAGTTCACATAAAAGCAGCTTTTTCTTTACTATTCTGGGCAAGTTAACCCTTTAAGGACAATACCTGAGAAGGTATTGTCCTTAAAGGAGAAGGTATTCCCCTTTCTTTCCTCCTCCTGCCAGCTGTTACCATGGAGCCCAAGTGGTAACTTCTCTTATCTTAGAAATGTAGACATCTCTGTGAAGCCCAGCTCAAGGCCAGAGGCCTTGTTTACACATTTTTACAAACTACTATACTGGATACATGTTTGTGAGAAACTAGTAAGGGGGTGTCCAGCACCTGCAGTGCTGATTTCTTCCCGGCCAGTGGCCAAGTAAAAGGGCAACACGAAAATAGGAAATTTATCTACATTGAACTCTTTTGCAGAGACTCTTTTGCTGACAGTCCTAAAATCAGCCATGGTGAAGATTTCTGGAGAAGCCCAGTTATGACTTTTCTGTGGAGAAAAGGGGTGCCACTTCAGTAGGTCTGCTTTGCTTTTAATTTTCCTATTCTCCTGGGTGTTGGAATTTTTGGTCTGCATAAAATTCACAAAAGTCCCCTCTTCAGGGTGATTTGTGTTTTGTTTTATATATATATATATATACTTTTATTTTATTTGTTTAAAAATGTGGAGCCCAGGACCAAACCCAGTGCCTCATGCATGCTAGGCAAGTACTCTACCACTGAGCCCCAGCCCCAGCCCCTGATCTGTGTTCTTATAAGCAGAGAGAAGTTTTAAATTCTGTGGCTAACAGGTTTTTGGTCAAGGAATGCAGCGTCCTATTGACTTAAATCAGAGCAGAGCCAGAATGGCTTTGGGTAAACTGCCTTTTGAAAGCACGTGGGCTGGGGTTGTAAAATATATATATATATGGCATGTAGGGGCCAGTAATAGGCCTTAATGTCACCTACCTACTGGTCAGGATGCCACCTCTCATCTCCACCCTCTTCTTCAATTGCTGTAGTAATTTGCCTAAATCATGCCCTACCCTAGTGCCATTTCAGACATTTGCATGGCCTGACCACACCAGGAGGTGGTGGGAGCTGGGCTGCAGAGATTTTCTGTTCTCACAAGATCCCTTGGCAAGAGCCCAGGAGAGCAGAGATGGCCTGGATGGAGGGAGCTGGGCTCCAGGGGAGATTTCCAGGGGCCTCTATACTGTCCAGGGGGCCCCAAGGAAATATAAAAGCCTTGAGTAAATCCAGCTCTGCACATGTGTAGCAATCATCTGTTCTGGCAGAGGCAGGTGTGTGTGTGTGTGTGTGTGTGTGTGTGTGTGTGTGTTGGATGAATCATCAGGGAGGGGCAGAGGAAGCCCTGGGTTTCTAAAAGACTAGATCTTCCCCTAACTCTTCCTGTTAGAGTTTCTGGAGAGTGAGTGACAGTTTTCCCTGCAGATCTGACACTGGTGTTTCAGGGACTTTTGGTCCTGAGCTAGACCCCACACCCATACCTGGCCCTGGACATTGCTGGCCAGGGGCCAACATCTCAGCACAGATAGCCTGGAAGGGGTAGTCTATAGGACTGTATTGAGCTCAGGGGTCAGGCTGAGGGCTAGGGAGGTGGAAGTGAGTAGAATGCAGTTCCTGCCAGGTGAAGGGGAAGAGAGGGCTAGACGGAGGAAAGGGCTGCTCTGGGCCCGCCCCAGCATTGGTTGGCTGGAAACAGAACTGGTAGAAGCTGGGAAAGTAGTAGCTACACACAACAACCCTCTTGACATAGAAACACAGAAAAATACACTCGACAGGAAAATAGAAACTATTCATTGAGTGGCCAGTAAGAGGCACTAACTAGGGCTTTCTAGAGAAACTCAAAGGCAGAGCTTACTAGAACTTACTGTAAGAACCTTGATAGAAGCTTTAGGAAACCCAACAAGGGCATTGAAAACCAACCAACCAACCAGCCAATTAACCAACCAACTAACCAACCAACCAACCAACCAACCAACCAACTGACCAAATGGTCTAGAGGGCAGACTGATGTGGTAGCTCAGAACAGACTCCAAAGCCAGTCCTCCTGGCATCCAATTCCAGTTCCTACATGGGTGACCTTGAGCAACTTAGCCTCTTTAGGCCTCAGTTTTCTTTTCTAAAAATTTGGGCTTATACTCATACCTACTTCATTAGGTTATTATGAGTACTAAGTGAGTTAATATACATAGAGAAGTTAGAACAATGCCGGACACATAATAGTCACCAAATAAGCATGTGCTATTATGATTATTTTTATTATTTAAAATCAACATCTAGGACCCAGAACCCATAAAAGTTCTATTTAGACTCTTCCCCCCCCTCATTTTTGAAATCAGTGCATTGTAATTGTATATAATTGTGGGATTTGTTATTACATATTGTACACACACACACAGTATCTATGATACACAGGTTTGGTCCACTGATCAGAAACATCAGTATTACTCAAGAGCTTGTTTGAGATTCTGTGGTTCAGTCTTGGATGCACTGAATCAGAACTCGCACTTGACTAGAACCCACATTCATAAGCTAGGCCGAGACTGGGCCATTTGAGAAGGAGGCCAATGAGGGTAGACTGTCTGCCCTGGGGTCCTAAGGCCTTGGAACATGGATGTCAACATGGGCATTTCACATGGGTGCACTGTTGCCATTCAAGCCTGGCAGGGTCCCTACACATCAGTGTGCTGGGACAGCCTTGTGCCTGGAGTCACCATGGGTGCACGGTGGCTGAGGCCAACCCCCCAGAACCCCGGGGATGCTGCAAGGTCAAGTGGAGGTTTGCTGGAGTACCAGGTACTTAGGAGGTGGTCTACCTGCTCTTGGCTGCAGACTGCGCGCAGGTGGGCCTTCCCACTTCCGCCATCCAGGTCGTCTAGGGGTTCAGGGGGCTCCTCCCCCAGATCCCGGCGCAGCCCCCTTGCCTGCAGCTCGCTCTTCATGCTGGCAAAGAAGTGCAGCACGCAGCGGTGCGCGAAGTCCCGGGCATGCTCACAGCATGTCTCGTCAAAGAGCTTCTGTTCCAGGTCCACATAGTTGCTCCAGTATCTGCGCTGCAGCAAGACTGTCTGGTCGAAGCAGGGCCTCAGGCAACGGACCAGGAAGGCCGCCACAATCAGCAGCAGGGTGATACTCCAGCCGATGGCCTAGAGGTTGAGGAGGCATGAGGTGGGGTGCAGTGGGGCTCAGGTGCTGTAGCATACTGTGGAGGTGCTCCAAAGCCCCCTCTTTACTACTCCCTTCATCCTTCCTCAAATCTATCCACTTTTCCATTCAGTCATGCATCCTACCAGCTATTCTTCATCCATATTAATCCATCCATCCATCCATCCATCCATCCATCCATCCATCCATCCATCCATCTTTTCCATTTATTCTCCCATTCTTGTAGCTACTCATCTATCCAACCATCTCTCCACCCATCCATCCAGTCATCTATCCTCTTATCTGACTATGTCCATCATCTTCCATCCAGCCTTCCTCCCATCTTGTCCAATCCATCCTCTTAGCCATCCACCTTTCCACCCATTCATGCTTCCATATTCTTAACCTTCTGCTTATCACCCACCCACCCATCACCCATCCTCTCTTATCTTTTCATTTAGTCCTTCATGTGATCCTCATGTACATTCATCCATCCATCCTCTCATCCATGCACACCTTCATGCTCTATTTTGTGGGAGACACTGTGCTAGGAATGGGGACAGGGAACAGTGCCCAGGCAGTGAGAAACTGGAAGCCATTCTTTAAGGCTGGAGCCCACACCTGGCAGATTCTTCTTTCCTCTACCTTCCAAAATTGCATCTCTTCAAGGTCCAGCTTAAATCCTGGAGCAATGAGAAATCACTCCTCGAAACTACAAAGCCATCTGAATGCTTGTCATTTATAGATATGATTCCCATCATGTACAAAACTGTCTCATATGGCTGTACACAGGACCCTTCCACCCAAATTTAAGGTGAATATTTTATACATGAGGAGCAGAAAATCAGACAATTTGCTGAGCTTAACTTGACTGATGGCTAACAGCTTAGTTAGGGTTTAAACCCTTGTCTGACTTCACTTTCCACTGAACTCAGGAGAGCTTAGAGTGTTGAAGCCCACAGAGACCAGCAAGGTTGAGGACAGCAACCCTTCCCTGCTTTATTTTGCACAAGAAACCGAGGCCCAGAGATCAGTGCTATGGCCAAAATCACAGTCTGAATCAGAATCAAGTGCTGCCTGAACACTGGTCCTCTCTCACTGCACCACAGGCCTGTGTTTGCACCAGCCTGTTTGCCCCCCACAGAAGACAGGGCTTGGGTCTTCATGGCCTGTATCCCTAGTGGTGCTCCATGTGTGATGGGCTCCCGTAATTCTCTTTGGTGGATACACTCCAGCACAGGGATCTGGGGGTGGTGGTGATGGAATCTGAAATCTGGAAGTGGGCCTGGGTTTGCCCTCAGGATAATGGAGTGGGTACCCTATAGAGAGCCAGGCACTGAGGGGAACCTGCACTGTGGTGAGGGGTTTTAAGGAATAACGGCACATGCATTCAGATCCCCCACCCTGCCTCTTACATGCTGTATGGCATTGAACTTGTTAACTAAAAACTCTCAGAGCCTCAGTTTCTTCATTTGCAAATGGGATGATAGTCATTGTATCTGTCTCTGAGGGTTGTGTTGAGAATGTAATGAACAAACGCATAGAAAATGCTAATACCTGTGACAGGCACCGCAGGTATCGAGACACGGCCTTTCGAGCAGGGTTGTCCCTGACCAGCTCATCTTCCTTGCAGGGCACCTTGGCCAGGAAGAGCTGCACTTGGCTGGGGGTCATGTTGGCAAAGTCCAGAAACTTCTCAGGGTCTACAGAATTGCTGAAGGCACACACAAAGCACTTTCCATCAAGGAGGGCCAGCAGGATCCAGACCATGGGGGCAGCCAGTGCTCTCTGCAGCACAGAGGAGCACATGTACCTGGGAGCAGAGAAAGGAGGAGTCACAAAGGGCAGGCGGAATTCAGCTGTGGAGTCTGAGTACTGCCACTTCCTAGATGTGAGAGCTTGGCCAAGTAACTTAACTTCTCTGTGCCTCAGGTCCTCACCCTTAAAAATGGGTCTTATCAAGGATCGGACTCAAGGCTGAGGAGAGAATTCAGAGAGGCCACGCTCGCGAGGCCCTTAGCAGAACAGAGCTTGACTCCAAGTTGGTGCGCAGCAGGGGCTGGTGAGCATTGCGCATTGCCAAGATCATCGGCTGATTTTGATACAGGGCACGTGTCATGCCCTGAGGCATAGGGGTGCTACAGGTGAGGTCCTTGTCCTTGGGGAACTTGCTGGAGAGGGCATGCAGCCTTTAAGTAAACCACTGCTTCTCATTACATGCAGAAAACTGCTCTGCGTGCCATGGTCACCTCTGGTGAATGTGGCAAGTTATAATCCACGGCCAGTGTGACAGATGTGGCTTGGGGAATTCTTGGAAACCCTGTATCATTCATATTTTTGTGGCACTGGTCATGGAAAGGTGACCAATGATAGGAACAGAATTATACATGTATTTCTTGGGAAGTTGAGGCAGGAGGATGGCAAGTTTGAGGTCAGCTTGGGCAACTAAGTAAGACTCTATCTCAAAATAAAGTAATAAAAAAAAGGGACTAGGGATGTGGTTTGGTAGCAGGGTGCTTGTCTGGCATGTGCTAGGCCCCGAGTTCAATCGCTAGTGCTGCAAAAATGTAGATCTTTCCAGATGGAAACTGGTTACTGGGTCTCTATGAGCTGAAGGAAGTTGGGGAAGGAGGGGGCACACCTGACAGTACCCGGGGGCTGGGTGGGGGAGCCCCTGACAGTGCCCAGGGATTGCTGAGAGAAGAGGTGTGGGATCCTACCAGATGATGCCCGAGTCCTTCCTCCGGTGCCCCTCGGGCCGGCACCACTCCTCCACCATCACCACAGACTGCCGGTTGACCAGGAGACCACAGAGGAAGAGGGCCAGTGGGGGCGTGAGCAGCAGGCCCAGGCCATAGAGGGTGTTGTAGCGCGCCAAGCAGGGGCAGTTGAAGTCGAAGGAGGAGTACAGCTTGATGGTGACCGCGGCCAGCAGCAGGCAGATGCCATTCATCACAGACTCGGAGCTGTTCTGGAAGTGTTGGAAAAACAAGCGGAACCTGTCCATGGCTGTTGTAGGGTGGGGGCAGCTGCCAGATGGGTGCACTGAGGCCTGGCCACACTGGGCCCCAGGAGTTCTTTCTCCTTTTCCAGGGGTCTGAGGAGGAGTCCGTGTCTAGTCCTCAGCCCAGCCCCTAAAGACTTAAGGCAGAGGCAGGCTGTCTCCGTGAAGGCTCTTCTGACCAGGCAATTGTCCCCAGTGCTGCTCCCTCTGTGCTGGGCAATGTGTTACTGCTCTGTGACCAACCAACCCAAGCACCTCTAGGCAAATGGGTGTCACTCTGTCACTCCACCCCTCCCCACCTCATTCTTCTTTTCTTCGGGGATTTGGATACTCAGGCCAGACAGCTGGGGGGAGAGGCAAATGCTGGGTGTGGTAAGGCAAAGATGCAGATGGGGCCAAATTGTGCTTTCTCGTCTTGGTCAAGAACATGACTTGGCTCAGACCAGGATTTCTGGTGGGCTCCTGGACTGGGATCAAGCCCAGGAGCATCTGTCTTGGCCTGGGGGCTTCTGGAAGAGAAGACTCCTGAGAAGAGCCTTAAACTGTGCCTCCACATTGGCCTTGAAAAGGGTTGTGGGAAGGGAAGGGCTTCCAGGTGGGGGTTCTGCATAATCAAAGGCCAGGAGGTGAGAAGTGTCAGACGGGAAGTGAAGCTCAGTGGTGGAGACACAGAAGGAGGCCCCAGGTTCAACCCCCAGCACTGCAGAAAAAGAGGGGGGGGAAGTGACAGACAGGGGTGTTGGGGAAGGGGCTGCAGGGGGGGTGCTACCTCCCTCGTGTCCATTTTGTTCTATGCCCGCCCCCACACCCAGTCTGGCTAAACACAGCTTCTACCACACACCCTGCAGCCTCCTGAGCTTGGCATTCAAGCCCTCCTGATGTACCTGACTCCCACCTCTACACCTTTGCCGATGCCAGGCCCCCCTCCCAGACACTTATACTTCCCTCCTGCCTGCCCTCCAGCAGGCAGCTCAAATGCAGCCCTTTTACCTTACCTCTCACCCAGCCCTTGGGAGGGCTGCCTGAGCCCGTTATTAAGCCTTCCCGGGTGTGGGGGTGATGTCCCTTCTAGGTAGCACAGGACCCGGGCCTGCACCTTTTTGTTTCCTGGAGCATCTAGGTTGGTCCTAAGCAAATGTTTGTAAGTGATGGCAAATGTTTGTTCTCATGATGTTGACAGGGGGACCCCCTTTATTTCCTCTCCAGCTCTGATCTTTCTCTTTCCACCTCTTGATTTGTACCACCCTCTCTCTCTGCTCCTAAGAAGCAAATGAGTGGACGTAGGTCTTGCCTTCAGTCTCTCTGTCTCTCTCCCTTTGTCTCTGTCTCTCATTCTTTACTCTTCTGTCTCCCTAACTCTCTCTTTCTCTCTCTCTCTGTCTCTCTTTCTATGGTCCCTTGGTACATATTTCTGAGTGTCTCTGTCTCTCAGTTGTTGCCTCTTTCTGTCTTTCTGTCTGTCCTTTCTAATTCTCCTGTCCACATGTATTTGACAGTCCTGTGGTCAGTAGCCTGGCAACAGCCACAGCAGCCCAGGGGGCCTGTTCCTGAGGTGGGAAGTCACCTGGGCCTGAATGAGGGGTCAGGATGGTTGAATATCCAGACCCCAACTACATAGGCTCCTCCTCAGCCTTCTTTTCTCTAGCTCCTTCAAACCTTGCCCATAGCCACTGATAGGGTAAGGGAAGCCTGAGCCTGGGATGGACTTGACCCCCACTGGCCCCTGCTCCATCAGGCCTGGACTCAACTCCAAGTAATGTCCTTAGTGAAATGCCTGCCTCAGCCCTGTTGTCCCTTCCTTAGGCCCTGGGTCCTCATGGTCATGCGTGTGCTTCCCACAGCCCTCTGGAGCACACCAATTAGACATCCTTTGCAATCTGTCCCACCGACACTCCATCTCCATGGACTCACCCTGACTACTGTGGCTGCACCAACCAGCATTCCTTCCATACTCTCACGCAACTTTTAGAAAATGAAAGCATCTCTACTTTTTTTCCTTTTCCTGATAAAACACTATTATTACCAGGCGTGGTGGTGCACACCTGTAATCCCAACTACTTGGGAGGTTGAGACAGGAGGATCACAAGTTCAAGGCCAGCCTGGGCAACGTAGTGAGACCCTGTAGCACCAAACCAAACCAAACACTCAAAAAACCCCACTATTGTGAAAAATTCAAAGATGGCATTATATCTTCCCATCATTGCACTTGCAGAGAGTCTGCCTGTCTACAGTGGTGTGTGTCCTTCCAGACTTGTGCCAGGGCCTGTGGCCCAGGCTGGCTGGCCTGCCTGGAGTTTCCCAGACTGGGGAAGGATTGACTGATGGGTGCTACTGCTGGTCCAAGGAGCTCCAGCAGCACCCACAGCAAAGGCAGCCTATGTGCCATCCCCAACCGTGATTTCCAGTTTGGAGCAAGACTCAGACACCACCAATCCTTCTCCTTCCACATGTGACGTCATATAGGTCTCTTTCTGTGCCTCAATTTCAGCTTCTCTGAGGGATGACAGCCCACCTTGCTGTGTGATGGACTCCTGGAACCTGCTAAAGGAATACAGTGTAGTTCACTTAGCCTATATTTTTATTTCATATAATATGCATGTTAGTCCTGGTCTTCCAAGACAGGATTAACTGTGTGGGGAAAATGGTGGGGATAGAGTTGAGAGGGCAAGTCCCCTGGAAGTCATCAAAGTGGGACCATGTGGAGGAACAGGCAGGTGTTCTGGGGCAGGAGTTGAGGAACCTTTGTCTCCTAACATCTTGGAGGACAACCCTTACCACAATTTCAGGTGGAGGGCAGTCCCAGAAAGGTTGGGTGTCCTGTCTGAGGTCACACAGCCTGGTGGGGACAGAGTCAGGAAGAAAGTTGGGATCCTCTTGTGCCTTTTTGCCTTAGTCATCCACTGTGCTGTTGACCAGAATAGGGTCCAGGCTCCTCCACCCTGAGCCTGCAGAGCAAGAGAACTGGTCTGGGAGGGTCCTCAGCAATACTTGCTCTCATTCTGGTCTGCAGAGTAGGGTGGCCTGAGGTAGGGCTGCTTCTTACCTTGGACATCTCCAGAAAGGATCAAACAATGCTTCTGGGAGGTCAAGGTGAGAGGTGAGACAGCTTCAGGTCAGCCCAGGCCCCTGGATTCCTGCAGGGCAGTGGTGTGCAGTTGAGCACCGACAACTGCCTTGCTAGGTATTTACTGGGAAATGCTTTAGCAGGAAAAAGATGAAGGACACCAACCATAATTTAGAGATATTATTTCTTTTTCTTTTTTTTTTAAAGAGAGAGAGAGAGGGAGAATTTTTTAATATTTATTTTTTTTTTTAGTTTTTGGCGGACACAACATCTTTGTTTGTATGTGGTGCTGAGGATCGAACCTGGGCCGCACGCATGCCAGGCGAGCGCGCTACCGCTTGAGCCACATCCCCAACCCTAGAGATATTATTTCTCACAGGGCAAGGAAATGGCTGTAAAGTTTTAAAAAATCTACGTTTCAGGATTGTCTAATTTTATGATTTTTAAAAAATTTCCAATAAAATCATAAAAATTTTTCTTTTTTTGTGGGTGTGTGTGTACTGGGTTTAGCATCCAGGAGTGCTCTACAACTGAGCTACATCCCCACTTCTTTTTATTTTTCATTTAGAGACAGGGTCTCACTAAGTTGCCCGGGCTGGCCTTGAACTTGTGATCCTCCTGACTCAGCCACCTGAGTCAGTGGGATTACAGGTGTGCATCACTACCCAGATGACAAAATATTTTTATTGGAAAAATTCAAAGAGATAAAGGGACAAGGTGAAATGGTTAGCACATTTTGTTGCCTTAAGCCTGGGCTTGCTGAACCAGAAGAAGAAACAGAGGAAGGAATAGGAGAAGGACTTAACTTACTCCTGGGTATGGGAAGATATTAAATTGCACATCTGCTGTGTGACAATGCCTATAACCAGACTTTCTCAATCTCCCACCCCATCCTAGAGTTCGGCAGCAAAGTTCTTCTGGGTCTTTTAATTCTAGGAGGGTTTTCTTTCTTTCTTTTTCTTTTTTTGAGACAGAATCCTGCTCTGCTGCCCAGGCCAGGCTTGAACTCCTGGGCTCAAGCAATCCTCCTGCCTCAGTTTCCCAAGTAGCTGGCACTACAGATGTTCACATTTAAAAAATTCTTCCTCCTCCTCCTCCTTCTTTTCAGGGCCTCATACATACTAGGCATGTGCTCTGCTGCTGAGCTAAATCCCCAGCACCTCCTTTTAAAAACATTTATATTCATATGTAAATGATGGCTCTGCTGGAGAAACTCATTGTATCTGGTGGCAGGGGTGCACATGCATGCATGGTTGTACATACATGGGTGTCTCGTGTGTGTGCGTGTGTGTGTGTGTGTGTGTGTGTTTCGTGTGTACGTATCTGCTGTGAGGTGGGCATGTGTGTAGTGTGTGTGTGTGTGTGTGTGTGTGCACTCAGAAATCCGTGTGTGATTAAGTTACCACTTTGTGTATAATGAGAAACCCTCCCTGAGCTGCTCTTTTTTCTTTTTCCTTCTAAGGAAAGACAGTGGAGTGTGTCCCACTTCTTTCAGGCTGGGGAGGGTGTCTAGAGGAGCAGTAGGTCCCTCTCTGCCCAAGAGTGACAGGATTTTGTCAGCTACCATGAGGACAGAGGCCTTTCTGGGTCCTGGCAGACCTGGGGGAAGCCATGTGTCACTCATGTCACCAGAGTCACATGGCCCCCAAGGGACAGGAGGGAGGAAAACAAGAAAGCAAGACTATTTAACCAAGGACACTGGAGCAACTGAGTAATCATTCAGGAACAACTTAAAAGAAATCTCTACATCATTTTTTTATACTAAAATAAATTCCACAGGGTTCAAAGATCTAAGCATAAAAATTAAAATCATAAAAAATCAGAAAGAAAATGTGGGTGAATTGATTCCCCATTAGAGGCTAGGAAGGCCCTCAGGGAGTAGAGTTCATCTAGTAGCTGTGGAGAAGAACAAAGTGGGCCTCATCAAAACTAGAAAATT